GTCAAACCAGAGAAACAGAATCTCATGCAAGAGAAATTGATGCAGGACATAGTTTCCTTTCTTTTCTTCTCCTTGTTTCATACAGAACCTCTAGTTGTTCAGTTTGTGTGTGTGTGTATATATATATATATGACATACAGAACATACATGATTCCTTTTCTTCTCCATGACATATATGACATTTAGACTTAGAGCAGAAATATGGTGATGGTTAACATTCCTAATAGATTTTTTTTTTTTTCATTATTTATTTGACAAGTGCTTGTCTAGTTTTTTGTATATATTCGAATTTGAACTGTAGGTTTTTTTTATGGACACTTTTGCCCATGAGATCCCAATAGAATATTTCTCTCACTTAAAATCAGTCCCACGTAGATAGCTTGGACTCGACTACAAATGTGTGTGTGTGTGTGTGTGTGATGTGTATGTATAGGAGATCCTTTTATAAGGGAAAGTAAGAGATCACATTGGTGGGCCCAACTTAAATGTTATCTGATGATGCAAGCTGTCTATAGTTAAGGATCATTCTTACAAAATGTCAGCAAAGTTTGAAATAGTTTTTGTTATCATATTATGATCAAACAAATAGACAAACACGCTGTCTCCAATAAAAACTGAACTAATGGGGATAAATTGACAATAATCATGTTATTCCTAACATTTGTGAGCAAAATATTACTGACACGTTCCTGCTTTAACTATAAATGGACACCCTCAACAGAGAAAACTATATACATTCGTACATACAAATATGTAAATGTAATCATGCAACAGAGGCTTTAAGCATTCCAAGCTAAAATCACATGATTCATGTCCAGTTATAATATAATGAAAAAGACATACCAAATTAAGAAGTGTTGCCAAAATTTCAGGAGGTATATTTGGGGATGAAAATGCCATCTCCAAACTTCGAACTAACTGTTTCTGACTAGTCTCGTTCAGCTGTGCCCAACAGCTGACAAAACCAGCTGCAAATAGCTCCCGCCCAACAAATGGCTACAAAAAGGAGGATATCAGAGCCCAAACTCCAAAAGAAGTAATATAAAAATAAGTAAATATGTAACACTCATCATATGCTTGTTCCCCATGCTTTCAATATGTTCTAATAATTATAATCTATGTCTTTCTATTTTGCAATTTGTGTATCCCAATACAATTATGTATTCTTTTAAAGTATAAGTTGACATTTATTTATATGTCATATAACAAATTTAATTAAAATTCAAAAAACAGCCTAGGCCCCGCCCATACATCTAGGTGCTTGGCCCTTTGCCCGCCACCTGACTAGACCCTAACGCCATTTAGAACCTTGGTAATACCTGCAACTGTGCAAGCCTTGCACAGGTTCGTAGGGCAGGAGAAGGAGATTCCTTCAGAAGTTCAATACTAAAATGTCTCATCCATTCTGCCCAATCTTCTTTGGTACTGCGCTGAGAAGCCTCCCCAGCAGTGCGTAATCGACCATCATTGACCTGTATATAATTTGTAGAAGTCAAAAATCAACTTACAGCCAAAATAAATATAGAAAAATAGTATTAGCATAAATAAATAAATATGAGGGTAAAGCCAAACAGACATAACTAGATATATGCATCTCAAAGACATAAATAAGCAGCACAGCAAAACAGGAACACTTAATACTAGCATTGAATAAAATATAATAGATCATGTCATAATAACCCTAGCCAATTCCAATAGCGAATAAAAGGAAAGATTGTCATGTTTAACAACCATATTATGTGCTAAGTTAGATGAACGTAGCATCAACGTAAAGATTCACCAATTACATAAACAAAAGTTCAAAGAAAAGGTTCTGCAGTAATATACCCTATGCACTGTGTTTGACACCAACCTCTATATACTTGCAAAACAGTTGCCACTAAATTTGAATTGGCTATGCAGTACACGATCTGCTGACATGTCATTCCTAATAAGTAATATTTACATCTAAATGCCTAGGAACTGCTAGCCACTGCACTCAGCACATTCATATATCTAAATACGATCTCACAACATTGGTCTTCCAAGAAGTTTTGACTGCAGCAGTGAGAACCACTATAGCACACAACTTATAGAACGTGTAGCCACGGGAGAGATACCTGATGGCCTCGAAGTTGTTTCTGCATATCTGACCCATTATCATAAAGGTCAATCTCTAAATCATTCCAACGGTCAGTAATAACCTCTACTGGAAGCCGTCTGCTTAATCTTTGAAAAGTTGTACTCCCCAAAATTAGAGGTTCACGTCGCTTCAACCGCCCTTCAATTTCCTCAAATTCCTTATGCTGAAATGAAATAACCTTTTTTACTTAAGAAGCAAAAGTAAGAAACCACAAACAATTTCTTTTTAAAATAAAAATAAGGCACTAAAGGCAGGGAATGAGGAAGACCCTTAAACGATGTTTCAGCAGAAGTTTGTGTATTGATGGGATAAAAATTGTGAAGTCCTCCCCAAGAGCATGAGCTAGACAACAAAGGGCATCAACAGCATCCTTCCGGAGCTCATCGTTCTTGCTGTAATACAAAAGTTTAAACCCGCTATGATTGGTAGATAAGTATTCCCACGGTACTAAAGATCCCAGAGCAGTCTTAAGCCACAAGTTATAACATCAAACAGAAGAAAAGGTTCTCCCAAATTATTCATAACGTAAAACCATTAAAAACAACCTCAGAAATATTCAGGGGATACACACCAAACAAGAAGGAACTCATGCATACTGATCCACAAGTCACCACCCCCCCCCCCCCCCAACCCCAAAACAAAACAAAAAAACAACATACACAAAAAAAAAAATGGAAAGCTCGAAAAAAGTGAAACAGAACTCACATCCTCAACTTTCAGGCAATGCAATCACAGAATCAGAGTGACAGAATGAGCATTAAGTTAAAGAAAGATCAAAGTTGAAGTCCTGACCTTCACAGTTTAACCATCCATATTATACATTACAAAATGGTCTCAAACAAATATTTATAAAATAAATATAAGAGAATTACAATGAAACGGAAGCAAGCTGTCATTAATTGGAATTCACTTCAAAGGAAGGGGAATCTGTTCTAAAACAAGCAATAATAGTAGCCAAAAAAATAGATTTCGTAGTTGCGAAACACCCAGAACAAAGTTTGAATCATCTGGAAAGTTTATCTAAAACTCAAATAGTCATATAAAACAGAAAAGGAGGATGTGTTTAAGAAACTTGAAGACAGTTTTCAACCAATGTCTAAAAAGACCAACAGTTGCACAACAAGTTCAGATCATATAGCTAATGGACAGGTGATGAAAAGGAAACGGACCCATCTAACACTAGCTTTAAGTGATGCACGAGAGAAGATATGTGACCAGCAACCTGAAAAATAATAATCACACATTACAATCAACATGTTGTCCAAGAACAATATATCCAAATATAACTGGAGTAAAAAAAGAGAGTACGGGGTGTGATGATAACCTGCACACGAGGAATAAGTTTCGTCAAAGTTTTAATAGCAGCACGTCTTATGTCCACTGAAGCATCAACTTTAAACAAGCGAATGAGTGCAGGAAGAAGAAGATGCATATGTTCATCCAATGTTCCTACATTTTGAAACTGAAATGAGTCTATACAGGTTGGCATATATATACTCAAGAATAGCAGCTTCACATTTTCATCATGGTAAAAAAATGTTTAATAAAATGCTTTTTGGGCTCCAAGCCTCCAACAGAGGAAACCATAATGCTCTTTGGAACTTAAAAAGTCCCATACAGCCAGCCTCAGGGACCTTTGAAACAAAAACCCAAAAAGTCTTTGTATTTCCAAATCTAAAAAGATAACAAGCAATTTTGCCCAATCCGTTAATGCAAATAGAAAAGGCACAATAAAGCTATCAGTTATAAATGCAACATTATAAGGTATCTAAAAATTTGATGCCCATTCACTTTAAATCTCCATCAACATCTGATGACTAATCTATTTATCAGAATGCAGACACAAATTAAACAAATAAACCCAGAGCCTTATGCTTATAGATGGAAGGCTTTCTTCCATCAGTCTATAAACTTCATACCCAATCACTTTGAAGTTGCCAGGTCAGTAACTACTCATGGTCAACAATTACTATCCAAATTGTTAACCAATATTTGAATACCACTTGATGCTTATTCTTAGATCGCAAAATTCGAATCTCAAGTTGTGCTTATATGCAGTAATTTTGCTCCCAAGATTTTGTAGTTACCAATGGAACCGAGTTGTTCCAAATTTTTAATATGTATCTCCGACAGCTACATTAATAAAACTTATGAAAAAAACAAAGGTACAGTATTTTTTAATAAGGAATCATATTATCTTCAGCAATTTTCTTTTTAACCCTGCAGTTATTAAGTCATCCATAAATCAAATCCACTTACTCTCACTTTACCATGATTTAAAATCATGCATTTAAACTGCCTGGACATTATTTTCATACCTCTCATAATCAACACAAAGTAACTGTTCTAAATATAATAGGAGCATACATTTGCCCACTATTTTTGGTTCCAACTTGATTCTTGAGTAAAAAAAAAGAAACCAATATTCAAGCAGGATTTTCAAATATGAATATTCTATTCGTGAATGTTACAAAGAAGGGGTCAAATTTTCTAATTCTTGCATGTATTTTACATGTAACTCCCTAAATGAAATTCCTTCTTTTTCATCTGGTTCTTACTTGCACTACTCTTGGAGAACTTGCATATCTACACAACCACTTTCCTTAAATTCAAGCCACCATTTATTTTTTTAAAGAATTTTATTAACAAAAGAAGAATGTACAAAAAGTGGATAAGAAATCCACCAACTAAAATCAAACCTAAAGTACTAAACTAGACCTCTCAAATAGGACTAATTTACAAAAATTAAACTTGAAAACTAACTACAGTTGCTAACCATCCAGCATTATAGAAGAAAGAATAATCCCTAAACTCAGTTGAAACAGATGCCCAAAGTTTGCCCAGTATCTAGTTTGGTCCCATAGTTCACCTACTCCCACTCCCTTAAAATCTTCCAAAATTCTTCTATTACACTCCATCCAATTCTTCAAGTTGCCAATTTAATTCTCAAATATCTATGATACTTTCATATCATTAACAAACTAATCCAGTCTTACAAGGACTTTTCTTACGAGACTTGAAATATAAGTTTCTAATATCAATAAATATCAATATATTAAATGAAAAATGAAGAGTACTAACCACCAAACACTTCAAGGGTACGGAGGATGTCCAGAACATAAGTATAATCGTTATACCGTTCTGCATCACTTAGAACTTGAATACAACATGGAAGAATATCAGGAAGGTATGTTCGAAATTCATCATTGAGAGCCAAGCAAAGCTGCTCCACCAGATGCAGAACCTGAGAAAGATTACAAGAGAACAGAAAAAAATGACAATGGGAAGTTCTTTTCAAAAAAAGTACTACAATTTCAAACACAATAGATCAATCTCATTATACAACCAATTGTAACCAATAAGAAAAGGCCAAACTTACTGGATAACCAAGTTGAGGACGGCCAGCAGCAGGAAAACTGAAGGTTGACCATAGTTCTGAAATTAGAACGAGCAACTCATGCAGATATTTCCGAATATGCTGCACAGCACATCATACCATATGTGATCATCAAGAAATCATGCACAATCATTACATGTATGAAAACTTAAAAGCCGTCAAGACATTTATACCTGACGCACAATAGACACTAGTGTGCCAAGCTTCCATGTTATAAAATCCTTTAAAGCATCATCACATGTCCGGACTATATGTAAGAGATCAGGTAAAACCTGTAGGTAAGAAAAATAAAGACGCACCATTTAAAGCCAAAAAGACAAAATCAAAAGCAAATGCACCAGCACATGAACCATCGATAAGCTAAATAACAGGTCTAATTCGAGATGAAAATGGACAGTAGAATAGTCATGATAAATGAATCTTGTTTCTTTTCGAAAAATTGATAAATGGAATTGCAAAGGCATGAAACTTAATATGTATTTTGTACAAAAAAGAGAACGTATAACACAATTCACATCCATCAAACTAAGATTTAAAAGGAGAGTACACGTGCTTTTCTGTACACCTGCATTCACACACATGTTAATACATGTGCATAAAACCTAAAACGAAACCAATCACAATTGAAATGTTTATACACTGACCTTTGGTAAGTATGGAACACAACCAAGACCCATTGACTAACCTCGCAACAAAAAAGATAATATTAGACATCAAAAACTACACAAATGGTAAGAATATCAAAATACAATCTTTATAAGAAGAGTAAATCAAAAAACAATAACCACATGACTGTATGCTAAATACCTTGAATATGAACATAAGAGATCCGACCACCTTTAGGTGGTAAGTAGCAAGTGAAGGGTCCCTAAGTATACGCATGAGCGAGTTGATTGCAACCTGTGGTCATAACATTGTAACACAACGACAGTCACTTATAATATTGATGTGCATATTAATGGATTTTAAGTTGTGGATCCGATCATCATAGTCCATTGATTGTGTGGACAATGCAAACGCAATCAGCAACCATGAGGAGCATCATTGTAATCAAATATATATTTATACACATCCATATAATAAAATACAAAGGTCCTAGCAGGTTTGATGTGCTACCGTAGAATAATAGTCTTCTGAGGTTGCAAATGATGGCCAAAGGTCCATAGGCAATTCATCCACAGACTGAAAGTGTTGACCAGATTCACTCGCACTACGGGTAACATCTCCATGTGACCCAGGCAGGCTTTGCTGATTTCGTTTATGCACATGAGGATCTAGAGCGCCCATAATTCCGAGAACCTGGCGAAGCCCAAGAACAGGTTAACATAAAAAGTTGGCTACAGTTAACAACCATGCAATCTAATTAACAAGTTACCTTTAGTACTTCACGTCTTGTAGACCATGCTAATTCACCATTCAGTAACTTCAAGAGTAAGCCAAGTAACAGTGGATATTCATTGTATGGAGTTATGACATACCTGTCAAAATCAAAGAACAAAAGTTTCCTAACACAAACCAAAATATAATACAGGACTTCACAAAACCCGATGCCAACAAAGTATCTCAAATCAATGCTCCATGTTACCAAATATGTGGACCGAGTCTATCTTCTATGGTACACAGCGCCCAAAAGTAAGTTGAAACATTATATTCTAATGGAAGTGGTTGGCCATGCACATTGTTCTAAAAATCCCCACATGTGCACTAGGCGGCTGGCCACCACCCTGATTAATCCCTAGGTGTTTGAAAATTAAGAAATAGCGCCTAGACCTGCTTAGGCGCCCACCTTGACCACCTAGGCACCCACCTAGGTTGCAACTCTCACTCAAACAGAAAATAGATAACTTTCATTTTGCATTTTATTTTTTTCAATAAATTGTTAAAGAGACTTGTTGAATACTTACTTAGATGAAAACACATTATATGCTTGTTCCCCATGTTTTCATTATGTTCCAATACTTTATAATCTATACGTCAGTTTACTTTGCAGTTTATGTATCCCAATGAAAGACACTTATTTATACGATATATATAATAAATTTACTTAAATCCGCCGCCCAACTAGCGCGTAGCGTCTTTTAGAACCTTGACCATGCATACATCAATTTCAGGAACTAGAGACTCAACCCTTATTTTACCATCTACCAATTCTCCCTCTCCAGCAAACAAGCTTCTTAAAACCAAAGAGATGCAAGTATAAAGCAGTGACAAACTGACTCCAGTAAAATAAGGTAATCCACTGTCTTCCTAGCTCACTACAGCACATGCAAGACCTAATGCAATATCATCTATTGTCGGCTCATACCTCAAGGGAAAGACCCCTCTGTTAAGGATAGTACTACGACATCTAACTATGGTTGGTGGGCTTCTTAACAGCTTAATACTTGAGATTAACAGTTACTGGGCATAAGAGATTTGGTTGCCAAGAAATCTTTTGTTCAGAAGGGAGGAGGCATGGTTTGCATAACCTCACATACTAACTTGAATACTACTAAAACAACTCAACAAGGTATCAGAACCTAAGAGTAGTGCTGCTACCTACCCTATATTTATTTCTTTTTTACTATATTGACAAAAAGGAAAAAGAGCCCAAAGTTTAAAGACCCAATTGAGAATTAAATAGTTATTCAATCAGATATTTGCATCAAATAATTATATAAGCATAAGCCTCAGTGAAGCTGTTTCTAACTCAAGATTAAAGATGAAAACAAAAAATATATATATAACAGAACCTATCATAGAGCAATGTAACAAACAGAGTGCATACCCAGTGCTCTGTACAACTTGACCAAGAGTAGCGACAGCCACTTCCCGTTTGGTGACGGCTGCTCCATCCAATAAAGCATCAACAATTAAAGGCATAAGCTCAGGAATGTATTTTCGCATTGCAAAACCACCCTAGACAGAAGTCAAAAAACAAAAAGAAAAACACTATTTTGTATCAGGACAACACAAAACAATTTTATAACAAAGAAAAAATTTATTTCTCGATTTTTTTTGTCTTGCCACCTAAAAGAAACACATTTTCATGTTCCTCACCAACTATGCATCAGACACCTCAATCCCACCACCTACCAACCTTCAACACAAATAAAAAAAACACCATGATAGGCTAAACACAAATATACCCACCACTCTAGCCAGATCCCCAACAGTTACAAGAACTCCACTAATAATGCCATTATTTGCGTTCACACCAGTGCCATCATTAAGTCTTGCAACAAGTGCCTGAACAATCAGACATTTACAATGAGATAGGGGGAAAATACAATTAATAAATGATAAAGGACTAAGATAAACAATCACTAAATGATTTATTAAACCTTGTGTATCGGAGCAATGTATGGAAGTATTAGTCGTTCACAGTTTCGTATTAAACAACCCAGTAACTTCGCACTTTCTTCCCGGCATTTGGTATCTGCACTGCTGACATAGCAAAACAAGTCAATATCTGACACTTTGACAGTTAATTCTAGCATTGATATCCATAACTGTATGTAACCAAAATTGATAATCCTTTCACATCACCTCTGCCCCAGGTAAGTCAACAACTGTATAAGATGCCGACGAAGTGCTGGAAGAACATAAGCAGGGTTTTTTTCTGACAACCTCCCAGCCACAGAAATTGCAAACTCTCGAACCTCAAAATCCTATAACAACATCATTTTTTTTTTTTAAGATGGGAAACACAAAGGAACAGAAATTTTCACAAGTATACATTCGAGCAAAACCATACATCAAAACTGCACAGTTATATGGTAGAGAAAGCAAACTAAAAGAAAATAGTATCTAATATCACATGCATAAGCAGCAAAGCTTATGCTTCCAATATCACAGATTAAGTCATGAACACATCTATCCAGAGTAAAAAGACACCTCATCATTTAAAGCAGCAAAAACTGCGCTCAGACTATCAGCCTGCGCCAAAAAATCATCAAAACCTCTATTCCCATGAAGGGAGGAAAATATTGAATGACGAACAATAACATCAGCATCTGCAACAGCTTCACTGAGAAGCTTTTCCACAATCTGCAGAAAGGCCGATTTCTAGTTAACACGCATATACCAAGAAGGAGAAAAAGAAAATTAATAATACTCAATGAGATTTTGAGACTTCACATGATACATTACTATAAAGACATTGACAAATTATAATTACAGTAGCAGACTGTAAAAAAAGCTATCCAAATTCTTAAGTCTAATGCATATCTTCAAAACATGTTTTGCGTAATCACATATTACAGAGGGCAACATGTCCACTAGAACCGATCTTAAATTTAATGAGATACAAAACATTTCTAAAGAGTATTGCCTTCTATAAGCCTCCAAATTGCAAAGAAAGAAAAAAAGGAATGTCCCCACAGCCAATGGACATCTTTAATAGTTGTCATATGACCATATCAGCATATTTGAACTGGAACCTAAAGGTAGGCGTTTATTGGCGAAATACGAAAAGACAAAAAAATTTGTTATGCTAAACATACTATTGAATATACTAGATAAGCACAAAATTGGTTTTACAGTCTACAAACAGTTCAAAAGAAACACAGGTTGGAATGTTTAGTATAAATTTTAATGTACAAATACAAACCTCCTCAATAAGACGTCGTCGCTTTCCCCGATTTGCCCTACCAGATGCATATTGCATACCAGAAAAGGAATTTGCAACTAATCTGCAACAACATAGGGCAGCATCTTTCCGGATGGCTCCATCATCATCATCCAAATATACAACAACTGATTCTCTTGCAAACTCAAGAAGGTCATGGCCCTAATTCATATATCAGCTTCTATGTGAGATTAAAGGTGCATTTAGGATTCAAAATGGGCAACAGTATTCACACAAACCTTGAAATTAAAACGAGCTAAAGTCTGCAAAGCAAGCTGCACAAGGGCTGAACCACTGAGGTCTGACGCTGGCTGAGGGACATTCATTAAATTTCCTCTACCCATGCCAACAGCCGACCTTCCCTGAGACTGGTAGGATTTTGAAAGAACCGCCGAAATGCAGTCAAGTAACCGATCTTGGATGGTAGGAAGCAAAGATGTAATACTGAATTAACAACCAATTGAACAAGGAACCAGTCAGTGCACATGGAAGACATAGACTAATCACCAAAATTGTGCAAGGAGAAGCTCTTGAAAACCCAGTGTACCTGGTAGTTATTTGCTCAAGTGCCTCAACAAGCGTAGGGGAAAGACCAGCAGAGAACATAACATCCAAAAGACCAAGAACATGAGGTTCCATAGCCGGCCCCATTGCTTTTGCTATGTTTCCAACACAAACCAAAGCCTCAAGAGAGGGTCTACCTCTACGTGGAGCAATCTGGAGAACAAATGATTAATAACAGTCACAGATGTGTCCACTATCACAATTATAACTCAACCTGCAGTCTACATACACAACACAGCAGAGATAAATATGATGGTGATGGCCACAATCACTCCAATCAACATACCGCATCACGTAAATGAGACGTTATTGTCGGCAAATAATGGACAAGTTCCCCGTCCAAAGCACCAGCCATCTCCCCAAGGGCAATAAAACCACTGGAGCGTTCTGCCGGTATTCGCAAAACTGCAAGAATATGATTCATACATATCTGCAAGAAATAGCACATCCTTACACATTCAGGATGACAAACAGAAAATATAAATGAAACAGATTTCACCCAAACCATTCTGCCCACCAGTTACAATATAATAATAAAGGACAGTTGACAAACCGTTAAGTAGTTTGTGACAAATCGATCACGCAGAAAATGAGCAATTCGAGGTAGCAGCGAAGTTATGCTCAGGCGAACCAGCCTGTCCCGGTGCTCAAGATATCTAAGGACAATTTCGGCAACTTCCCTGTACCTAGACATCATAAATTCACCTGTATTCCTGCCCAGATGAAATTAAATTTTTTAAACTGATGAAGGAGCAGTTGATGGCTGGGTCAAAATGTCAAGATAGCACAAAGTAACACAGCACATTTACATTTTTACATTACTTAAAATAATTTAGGTTTTCCTTGCTCACACATTGGAACCACATGTAACCATTTTGGTTTTCCTAGGCTCCACCTAATAGAATAGAGTCACTACTACAACAGGGTCATATAAAATTCATACAAAAACTTTATTCAAGCCAACAAGAATCCATTACACATTCGTATAAATGAATGTGCACAATAACAAAGTCTATTCCAAAATGGTAGTTAGAATTGCATGAACATATGTTCACGTGTCTCTTGAAGAACTGATCATCAACATGAGCTAAAAAATCATCACAGTATGCATTTTGTACATATGTGGTAGGGTTTCACTTACAATTGGCCAATCTGGTACATATGATACTTCTAGTGAATGACAATCATATTCACATTAAAAAAATAGAATTAAAAATGAAAATTATCATCCCCACGAACTCTACTAACCTTAAAAGTTCTCCAACTGCAAGCAAAGAACCATGTATGCTGTGAATGGAAGCATTTCTACCCAACCCATCTTGGGTAGCCTCAAACATACGATAATACCATTGCACACGCCAGCGTGTCTCACGTTTCTCAATAACACCAAGGCAAGCACGTAGAGCTTCCACAGCTCGCTCTCGAATAGGCAACACTGGATCCCTCAAAGCAACCCAAATAGCATCAACAAATTCAGGCACATGAACATTGAACACTGTTGAAGCGTTTTCTGCCATTTCCTATAATAAGAAAACATAGAGTTAACTATTTCCTATATCAAAATCTAATGAGAATAGCTAAAAAGAATTTTAAAGTTAAAAAGTAAAAGTTCTATGTTATGAAACTTTTTTTAAGAATAGAACTTTGATGGGATGATTTGAAAAGTTTCTTCACCTATAAATGGAGTGTCCTCGGAGAAACAAACTCAGGAGCGCTAATAAATAAATGAGTACAAAAGTAAAATTGTTGCACTTACTTTCAAAATCAAGACAGCAGCAAAACGGCGATACTCAACTCTATCTCCCCGCAACCAATCCAGAGCAATTTTTATCTAAGAGGACCAAGGCTTATCAGATACTTTACTATTCTAAATCATATTCTTTCATGTCAAGGGGGTACACAAAAATGCAACAAACCTGGCGTTCCACTTCATCTGCAGTCATTGCTCCCCCTGCCCTAGCAAGATGGCCCAGAACTCTACTAGCAAGCACCAGAATATCCGGATCACGCTTTACCTCAAAAACAGTCCGTATGTAGTTAGCAAACTTCGAAACCTTGGAGGAATTCTCTCCCAGTGCCACATCTATCAACTCATCAATAGCTCTTAGAGCTCCCAAATTTTCTGCAACATCACTGCTCTCCAGTAGAGATGAAATTCGATCATACAACTGATCCATGAAACGCGAAAATGCTTCTCCGCTGAGGTCACGGGCTTCTTCTTCCAGATGCTTCTTCAATGCTAACGAAGCCCCATCCTAGGAAACAACACAGTTTAAGCAGTTTAAGTCCTCTGTTATCGAATTTGCCTATAGTGAGTGAGGAGTGCTTAAAATTGGCCTATTATATTAGCTCCAATAACACTAACATAATACCTAACAAATCACACAATTCATAGCTTACACTATCCACTAAACCTATTAGTTATCCACTAAACCTATTAGTTATCCACTAAACCTATTAGTTATCCACTTAACCTATTAACAAGAAAGTGAAAAGTTCGAACGTCTCGGGAACCAAACAGAAAATAAGAAACAGAGAGGGATAGAGAGCACAAAGTACTGACCTTGGGGCTGCCACGGGTGCAGAGGTCAGCAAGGATGCGATTGAGCGCGTCAAAACTTCCTCCACTGGGTCCGGCGGAGCCGGGGCCGCAGAACCTGAGGGACTGCCCCGAGGCCGCCATGTGTCTCAGGCTCCCCAAACCCTAAAACCCCCAATCTGTCTCTCCCACCCCCTCTCTCTGTAGCAATCGGATCTTCAAGGCATCGAAGCTCCGCCGAGAGAGCAATGGCAGATTGATTCTTCCGCCGGAGACGATGGGAAGTGCAGGCGTGCGAGTAGTTGCGGGCGGGCTAAAGCGGGGAGAGAGTACCAACAGCTGTCTGCAGATTACGCTTCGAATTAACGCAATCGAAAGCGAAAGGAGGAAAAAAGGGTGGTTTGGGGGTTCTGGGGTGGGGGCTTATTGCGGCTGTGCGTGTAAATCTCGTTAATTCTTGGGCTTTGTGAACGCACTAGACCGATCACGCTCATCATTCATTCCACCGACTCAAACTTTCTTTCATTTTTTATTCACTTACTACCAAGTATAAAGGGTAAAGTAATTTTTTAATACAAAACAGTTTTCCTTCCAAAAAAGTTATTATACACCAGTCAGTCCTGATACGAAAAAATATATACTTCTAAAACAAAATCAGTATTTTCTAGTCCTCGGTATTTGTTGCATTTGTGTATATGAATATTCTGCAACCATCATACTACACAAATTCTTGGGTATAATATGTATTAACATAATTAATTATTAATCTCTTGCTACACGCATACGTGATAATTAATTTTTTTTTTGTCTATAATATTTTAGAAATATTAAATCAGTAGATCGGAGTATACTTTAAATTGGAATCATGTCATGGGAGTGTAATACGCCAATTTGTCCACTAGACTATTAGCAGATAAATTTATTTCTAGAAAATAATAAACTTACTAACCACATATAGTGTATAGGTGGTAATTGACTCTTTTTATTTTATTATTTAGATTTTTGTCTGATAATTATATTGTTTTTATTTTTATTTTTTTAACAAACAATATTATCTACACTAAATGAGATGGAGGTTGGCTTAGCCTCACGATATCATTTTTATTTTTATTTCTTTTAATTTTAATTAATATTGTTTTGGGGAGAGAGTGAGAGAGGTTTAATTTTTAATTTTTTTTTAAATTAGAGGTGTTAAAATTACCTGTAGTTAAGGCTTAAGCAAAAAACAGCAAATTTTGTTTTGTAAAATTACGTTACTGCTCTTAACTTTTTTGTTTTGATAGAAATCTAAATAGTTTTTTCACCTTCTTTTGGTTGACAAAGAAGGTTCTATTAATATGTAGTTTAGACATAGATTCAAGTTAAATGTAATGTAACTGGCAATTAGTTGCAAGCGTAACTTAAATGACAATGACATTATCATAATTTGAAAAAGATTAAATTGGTGAATCTTCGAGAATATTTTTGCATCTCCTCTCTAATTTAACTAGTTTTTTTTTTTGGGAATAAATTTATACCTTTGATGAACTATAAAAAAAAGTAGAACCCTATTGAATGAATTGCCTTTATTTCAAATAAATGAAAAAAAAATTGATGTTTTAGTATATACTAGAAATTATGCTCACACGTTGCTACGGATTATGACACACCCCGACCTGAAAAGGTCGAAGCATGCTGGCCGTCACCATGAAGTGACGTAACCATAAGGGTAAGTGATGCAAAAAGTGAATAAAATTAAAACTAATTAGAACTAAGCAGTGAAAGAGTGCGCAATTCGTGGGTTGAACCCACTACAATTATTCAAAGCGTAATAGACAGTGAGACTACGAAAGAGTAGTCAAAGCAACCAAAGTACACTTATTACATAATAGTGATAAGTTTGTACGTCTAAACAGAAGGAAATGTCGGAACTGCTATGATTCCTTAAGTGCCACAGAAAGTACAGCTATCTAGGTCCTGGAGGGGTGAAAAACAAAGTTGAGTGAGTCAGCAAAACAATGCTTATAAGAAAACCTTTATCTTTGAATATACTAACCCATCGCCGTAAAACAAGTATAGTTTCCTCAAAACATACTACGTAAGTATGAAATGCAATATATCAGCTATATAACCAGAAATATGCCAAGTAAATGATGTATCATATGCCACAATAATAATCATGTGATAATCAATATAACTAAGTGCTCATCCATCTAAGCTGACACACAAGTTGGAACAGATAGTTTCTAATACGAACAGGACTGGGTGTAATCAATATGCTCTAATACTACGATCACGTAAAGACTAGTGCAAAAGCACATCACATACAAGTCGGATCGCCTAATGCAATCTACCTGACAAGACTGGCACCTAAACTTGGATCGAATGTGAGCGAACGGTGCGGATGTGAACATACACGTGAATGACTAGCCCTGGCCCTAGGGCGAGTACTAACACCGAGTGCAGCAAGATGAGCATGTACACAAGTATGTATGAATGCCATGACAGTAATATCACAACCAGATAGCATCATTTATCACAATTTATATCACAATAATGATACTAGGCAATATAGGCGTAAAAGTGAAGTAAATACACATTTATGGAAACTATAAATATATATAGGTATAAAACAACTGCCCACTCACAAGTACGTCGCTGGGTCGTAGCCCCCGAGCCTAGCTTGGCCTCGAAAATCCTTGGAATAAGTTTCCCCTATATGTGAAATAACTAAATAACATTAATTAAAGTACATAACGGAAACCTAAATAAAACCCCCATAATTTGCTCAAACCTAGAGTATAAATATATGAAATCGATCTACTCGACGACACAAACACACATGTGTCAACCACTCGTCGGCCGGAGGCCGGACAAGCCTTCCAAAGTGGCTGTCCACGTGCGCCCACTTGCCTCCGCAAGTACATTGTACTCGTCTTCTTCGCGAAAATCTGCAGTTTTGCAGATTTTTGGGCCAACTTCCAGAACCCTTAACGAGCTCGATTCTCAACCAAATTCACTTCTACAAAAGCTAAATTAAAGCTAGGAATATGATCTACCGATCCCAATTTACAAAAAGTTCGAATATAGGTTGTGTTGTTCAGAAATTTGGTCTGAAAGTGGCCAAACGACCATGGTTGAAATTTTCCAGAAAACTAAAATTTTGTTCCCAACTTCCAGAGTTGATTTCTAACTCGTTACTTAACCAAACTCAGTGATTCAAAAGCCATTTTGAAGTTAGGAATGTAAAAGTTTGTACCTAGTAGAAGTCCAATTGTGGTCGAGGTTGACCAGAAAAATGGTATGAAAGTGACCAAATGGCCACGGTTCTTGAGTGAAAAATGGCAGGTTCTCCTTTTTCTCGAGTTTCTGGGTAAAACCACATGTTTAAAACACAAACAAAGGATCAACAACAACCCATAGAAGTGAAATGAAGGTTCTAAGGGTTTCTCAATGTCACGCCCCGAACCCGGGGTCGGTAGTAAAAATTTGAACCCGAATCCAAAACGCGAACTAAAAACTAAATAATTAAAGTAAAACTGAAATAACAGAGTGAAAAATAAAATTCCTCTTATTTAAAATAACTCAATAATTCATTACAAGGCTAAAATAAAGAAATACATAATTCTATCCTCACACTTAATCCGATCTCATCCCGTCTACCCTCTTAGATTGTTTAGTTCGTGAACCTGCATAACAATAGAGGGGTGAGCTTCAACAGCTTAGTAGGGACATAACCTTATCACAGTAAATTGACAATATTAAATTACGTGTCATAAAATCATGTAATCAAGTACCAAACCATTATCATCAACAATTCATTAGTGCAATTCAATACTCTTCATCTCTACCCGTTAATTCATATAATAAAACACGCGGACCTACACGTCCCATACCGTGCATTTTACCTTTGCAGTGGTGGTTCGAATGTTCTATTATACAAATTAACCCCCAGTAACTCAATCATCCCAATTTCCCCTTTTGTTAGTCATCTTGCCAAAACCCTTCGTCGCCAATCCCGAATTACCCTCAAAGAAACTGTGCACTGTGGGCTCGCCTAAGACTTGGTACCTACTAAGAGTTTGGCTCAACTACACAAAAGATCCTTTCCAACAACCCTCATTTCCAGTTCCTTTCTCAACCCCGAACTTCCAACTATTCTCATACATGAGTAATGCACAAATAATCTCATTTCATCATTCACATGTACCACAACATATTCTCAGCGAATAGCATTTCACCAATAATTCCATAACCAACAAGTAAACATGCAAGAGCAGTATTTGTCCACTTAGTAAACCAGATCACATTAATCAACCAACAAGATCAATATCAATAACAATATAATGCTTCACTAAATTTAATAAAGCCAATCTCCGTAAAGGTCTGCCGTATTTCCCTTACCTGGATTCCAAAGCATTGCTCTGAGATATTAACACAAGAATCCACCACCTTGATAAAGTCCTATTCACATGTATAAGCAAATCACTAAATGCACAACTACAACTCTAATCCTATTTGAATAATTACTTGTGACTACTAATTCAACACAAATAGATTCAAATACTTTTAAGAAATAAATAAGATGTGTTTGTATAGTTGATAAAGGATCAGTACATCAAAATACTGCTTTATCCGAATTAAATATATGTAGCTAATATAATCATTCCAACTCTAAACATAAGGTGGTTTATTAATATAGTAGACATATAGCTTGAAAACGTGAACCATAAGTTTGGTTCTAACTCCAATACATACATGCACATATAGTCTTTGTGATGAAAACATGGATAATGGAATGTGTATATTAGTAATTGCAACTTCAACCAGATGCTTTACTTGAAGGATGCATAGATAGTGTAGATATAAAATCAGTTGTAAATATATTATCCTTTAAAATCAAAACATGCTTTCTTTTGAAATTACTCAATTCATAAACTGATGAGCTGATGCCATATTTATACAACTGTTTGCACAACAGCTCCTCTAATAAAATATGCAGTAGAAATGGTATCCATATAAGCCTAACAGTCTTTTGCATTCAACCAACAACTTTTATATAAAGCAAATTAAAGAAAGCATATGCATAAAACTAGCCCTAATTATTAGTAGTTATATATAAGGGATAAATTTACTCCACTGCAACAATCCATCATATCATACAAAATCCATGTTATGATCAGGACTAGTGAACAAAGCACACACTGAATCACAACATAAGAAGAGACCAACCACAACTTTGGTAAATTGGTAGTTAATCGAATTCGAATTGAACATCATACCTATTTCAGACATCAAATACTCCTTCAGTAAAGTAGCATACGAGAACAAGCAGTGGCTTACTGATTATACAAAACCTCCCTCTCTTGCATTTTCATCTGTTTCCCTAAGAGTTGCCTTCTCAATACCATAGCCTCATAAACAACTTAACAGTTTGTATTTTCCAGCAAATTAATCTCTCCCTATGTGCCTCTACATCTTTATCTGTAAACGTTCCCTCTTTTATCCAGTTATCACTTCTCTCTCGCTCTCGCAGACCGCACCGCTCTACAACCCTGGGTTTCTACTTATAGTCTTACAAAGTCGGCAGATTCTTAGATAGGAATGAACTAAAAGCCCTTTAATTGGCTATGGTTTTTGGTCCAATTAGAATAGAACAAAACATGCAGCTTAATAAAATAATGTAAAAGAAAAGAAAATGAATAATATGAATACCGTAATGGTGTACTGAACTTATTTGGTTCAAAATAATCGTAAATTAGAGTATAGAAAAATGAAATAAAGGAATTAAAGATTAATTAAGAAGTAATACAAAACTTTCTGAAATTAATAAGTATATACAACACATAATTATATATAATTATTTTTGAAAATACAGGTCCTCACACTCAAGGCTTACCTAAGTCATGCATGGCCTGGAAATTGATATGTCGAACTCGCCGAGTCGACCTTCCGAGTTGGTGAGTCAAAACTTGTCTACATCAGATTTCAAGGACATGGTTGTGATCGTGGGACTGAGATGATCACAATGGTGTAGTTGGTTTGTCACGTTTGTAAGTTTTGGTGTGTTTTGTGGTTGTTGCAGAGAGGAAGAAGAAGAAGAAATGTGGCGTGGGAGAGGGAGAAGAGAAAGAGAGATGCTTTTTCTGATTGAGGGAACAGAAAACAAAAAAGAGATGGGATAGGTGACAGTGAATAATGAAGGGGGAAGTGCACGGGATGGGTTTAAAATGAATCCAAGGATAGGTTTTTAGATTTCCTATAGTAAAAGGAAATCGAAATCTATCCGAAGTAGATATTTTTACACTTTAAAATTTACGCCTACTCGTACTAGCGTGTACAATTTAAATGCGATAGCGAGAAATAAAAAGGAAAGTGATAAGAATAAGTCCACATCACTTGCCGATAAGGGCATAGTCGTCAATACATATACTTGAGAAAGTACATAGGAAAAGTAGGGACGGGTCGTCACAGATTATAAATTATATGGAAGATTATGTTTGTAAGATATGAAAGATTGTGTGGTAGAAGATTAATACTAGTTATATTCAAAACGTTGAAAAAAATGTACATATAAAATATTTAATCAATATAGCCCACACCTTCTACACTCTAAACCAACCAAAATCCAACACAACACCAAGTTATGCTTGCAGCCTCTATTAATTAACAACCTTTTGGGCAAAAAAAGTCCACCCCAATTGAGATTAAAGCACACCTAATCGAAAACTTTGATTATAAACATCCATCAAATGATTTTACATAAGTCCCTAAACTTGTAAAACATGTTTTTATGCAAACAGAACAACGAAAAGTAGAAAAACTTAGAACCAAGTGGTTTTCTTAAAGCAAGAAATTGGAGCTAACACAAACAAAATGTATCAAATTAACAATACGCAATCAATTAACAACTTCATAATAAAAATAGCTAAAGGGTCAGACCCAAATGAGATTAAAATTAAGAATTCACAAAACCAATTGAAAATCTAATTTCGAAATTCCAAGCACCCACCAAATGATTTTGGTTAAAGTTCTAAACTCAATACATGTTAGTCATTCATAAGAATGAAAGTAAAGTATGAAAATTTTAAAACAAAGGTTGAATCCTGTTCTCTGTCAAATTACGTTTTGAGCTTGGTTGCTTTCAGTTTCACACTATGCTTAGATTTGGTCTTCATTGTGAGTAGACCTTCCAACCTAACATCCATTCACATATACCCCATCTACACATGATTCGATATTATATTATATATTATATCCTAATCTTAGTATTAATTTAGTGGTTATTTTATGAGAATTTTGATACTTTGATTTATATTTATAATGTAGGACATTCAACTTCCTCTTGAGCAAAAAGTAATCAAACAGACAATATTGGAGTGATTCCAATTAGAGGATGTTTGTGAGTCTTTCAAGATAATTGTATCATAGTTTCAAAATTTTCTACCAAATGGTTATTTTCTGGTGATGAAATAAAGACGCAGTGCGCAGTGCTGTCAAAGTGACATTTTGAGCTTATTTGGGCTTTTTGGCATCCAAGATGATGTCTTTTGGGTTTAAGACCTTCTGAAACTATGTTCGAAATATCTTAAGTTTTAATTTTAGTCATTTTGGGCCTGTTTTGGAGCCCTGAATATCCAGAAAGGTGGAATTCTTTGTGACTAGGCAGATTTCCCAAAGTTAAAATAGGAATGTATTTCCTAATTATCTTATTCTATTATGTTTCCTAATTTTTAGAACACATTTTCTAGTAAGGATTTTAATTTCTAGTAATATAAATAAGGCTTTTTAGCCACTAGGAGGGAGGGAGAATAACACATAAATTTTGGAGAACTTTGCTAGGTTTTGACGATTAGATTTATATTTCAAGGTGCTTTCTATCTTTTTTTTTTTAATAATATTTTGTTTTATGATTGTTCGTAACTAATTTCCTTTTGCTAGGGCGAGGCCATAAGTCTTAGCAAGAATATGTAGTTTATTTTCAATTTACTTATGATGTTATGCATGCAAGTTTTGAATTATTAATCATCGGTTTAAACTATCTACTTGTCTTAATGCTTTATCCCCATTAGAATATCTAGAAAAGTATGCAATTTTGGTTGGAGGTTGGTCATTGAAATTGACGAAAGCTTCTTGTGGTTAATATGTGTAAGTTCACTTTGGATGAATATCACGCCTTAAGGGTTGCATGGTTTTTCAAAAGGTTTCACAAAACTTAATAAGTCACGCATGTTTAGATTTGATATGAATACCACAGACGGATTGCATGTTTGATATATGCTTTATGTTAGGGGTCCAAGTAAGCATACTTTAGGAAAACCCAACCTTCAGAATATGCATGTGTAAGTCATAAGTAATTGGAAGAACTATGTATGATTGTTAAGATGAAGGTGGAACCCTAGTGCTTTCACAATTTAATTTTCAAAAACCGTTTTCTTTTAGTTTATTTTATTTTGTCTATTCATTTAATTATTTCTATTAAATTCGTTTTTAATATCTTAAGTTACAAAATCAACTTTTTTTCCAAACTTTGTTTTAAATAATTAATTAAGATTTGATTTGGCATAAAATTAGTCATTCAATCCTTGTGGAGAATGACATTGCTAGAGCTGTTATACTACTATTACCTTGTACTTTTGCAAGTATTTTAAGTATTTTTATTCCTACTTTTGCAGGTGGTAAAAATCTTATCACTACACCAACACAAATCTAAAATTATATATATATATATATGTTGTCTAAATGTAAATCAATTCTTAGCTAATAATAACATGTTCAAATCCTTATTTCCTCGTATGATTATGTAGCTAATAATAACATGTTCAACTCCTTATTTCCTCGTATGGTTTTGTAGTAATAGGATTAGGCAAATCATTAGCTAACTAACATGTTTAAACGCCCACAACTTTTCCATAAACAATGTGAATGCAAAAAATATATTCTGGATATGATTAATTATCAATTTTATAGAGTATAATTTATTTCTTAACTTTTTTTGTTTTTGTTCCAAAAAATAGTGCGGTATGTTGCATTGCCTTGCAAGACAAAAATCGACTTGCCTTAATGGCTCACCTGTGAAACATTGGATATGTTCCAATTGTTGTTAGAACTATTACATTATAAATTATAATGTCCAAGTTAGGGGTCATGTCAAACATGATTAGTACAAATCATTTTAGGATGATCTTGCTAAATGAGAACAAAAGTTAAAGTAGTCTAATTAGAATGAAAAAAATTACGTTTCATTATCTATTCTAAAGTTGGAGGGGAATTTGCATGTTCACAACTACAGTAAAAACAAGGCCCTCGACTTCTCTTAATGACACCGGTGAATGATGCGGAGATTGAACATGGTTTATCCAAATGTATCCTACAAAATCACCAAGTCCGGATGGCTTCACTACTGTTTTTTTTTTTCTTTTCAAAATCATTGGGAGATAGTTGGAGTGGATGTCATGGGTATGGTAAAGTGCTTTTTTCATTCTCAACGCATGCTAAAGGAATTGAATCATAAGAATATTGTACTCATTCCTAAAGTTGATTGTCCTACAATGATTTCTCAATTTAGACCAATTTCCATATGTAATGTGGCTTATAAGATTATCTTGAAGGTGATTACGAATAGATTAAAGAGAGTTCTTCTGAAGGTGATTAGCAAAAACCAGTCTGCGTTTGTCATGGGTAGACAAATTTCGAATAATATTTTGGTTGTACATGAGCTATTACATACGATGAAACATGTGGAGATGAAGAAGGAACTCTTAATATGGCGAAGGCCTATGACCGAGTGGAATGGTCTTTTCTTTAAGGCAATGATGTGTAAGTTGAGATTTGATGAAGTCTTTTGTAATTGGGTGATGGAATGTGTGATGACGGTTACGTACAGTGTGATGTTAAATGGTGAGGCTACTGGTTTTATAACACCAAGTCGAGGACTTGAGCAAGGGGACCCTCTCTCCCCATTCCTTTTCCGCATTTGTTCCGAAGGTTTTTCATCACTTATACGAAGGGAGGAGCGGGATGGTAGGTTGTGGGGACTCCAAGTGTCAGCCAATGATGAACCTTTGTCCCATGTTTTCTTTGCAGACGACTCCGTTTTCTTTTGTCAAGCAACAGAATCTGAGACAGTGTGTGTAAACAATTTACTCCGGCGTTATGCTAAGGGATCTGGGCAATCCATAAAATTGGACGAGTTCTGTCCATTTCAGTTCTAATTTACTCCGGCGCAAGTCACAACGGGCGGCGGTGATGTGCATTAGACTTTAGGAGGGTGAAGCAAATCTTTCTTTAGCCGGAAAAATACTTATTAAAAGTGTAGCCTCATCTTTACCAAATTATACAATGTCATGTTTCCAACTTCCGATAAAGTTGGCAAAGGAAATTAAGCAGGTGATTGAAGGGTTCTGGTGGAGGGACCAAAAAACAAATGAAGGAGTGCATTGGATGGTGTGGAACAAGGTGTCAAATGGAAAATCAAAAGGAGGGCTCGGGTTTAAGAAAATTATTTCATTCAACCTCGCTATGCTTGCTAAACTCATGATTGCTCAAGACTTAAATCGTAATTGAGAGCTTGGTCGCAAGGGGGTGGGTGAATCAAGTGTTGAGGCATTTTATTTGGTGTTGCTGTAAAAATATTCTTGTGAGAACCAATCTCTAGCGGCGTGGGGTTCGATTGGAGACGTACAATGCGGTGTTGTATTGGATTTGCACGATTTTTTTGGTTTGGGACACAAATTCAACTTGATTCGAATTTGGTTCAAGCCTGAAAGCGATGATTTTTTCAAGTGTTGGTAGTGGCTTTGCCAACGATATGAGAGTGCAAATGAGATGGGAAAGATTATGAGATGGGTGGTTTGTGGAGCGAGGATTTAATTTGGTTCAATTGGA